GGGAGGGGAGGGAGGGGGCGGGGGCGGCAGCGCACCGCTGGTACACGTCGCGCGTGAACGCCTCCCCCTCCACCCCCCCAAAGTCCAGCTCCGTCTGGAACAATTCCGCCTCGGTGTCGGCCGCTGGAAGAAAGCGAGGGAGGGGGAGGGAGGGAGGGGGGCAGGACAGCAGGGGCAGTGAGGGCACGGGCGTTCGGCCGGGGGCCTGGGCGCGGCGCAGCGCCGCAGGGAGCGGCGCACCGCGCACCACCAACCATGCACCTGCCACACCCGCGCACCCACGCACCCACGCACCCGCGCACCCGCCACACCCGCCCACCACCACCCGCCACTGTGCCCTCCACTCCTGCCTCCCAGGCGCCCCCACCTGGTCCACACATCCTCCACAGCAAACTCTGGCAGCCGTGCAGCGGGTGGGCGCCCCGGCATTGCAAACCCTGCTTCAGTGATGCAGGCCGTGGCATCGGCTGCCCGGCAGTATCACGCCACCCCACTTGGGGCAGCGTGGTGGCAGCAGCGTCGAGCGCAAGGAACAGCAGGTGCGAGCTGGTGCAGGGGCCAGCAGGCAACAGCGGCAGCAGGACAGCTGGCCACAGCCAGCCACCCAGCCAGCCCCACCTGGCGCCCCCGAAGCCGCTGCAGCAGTGCAGTCTTGATCCGCTCCAACCCCTCCTGCTTGTTCTGGTTGAGCCAGGTCTGCGCAGGGGGTGGGGAGCAGAGAAGTCAGGGGGCTAAGCAGGCGAGCCGGGTGTGCCCCCGGGCGGCAACACAACAGAAACCGCGTCGTGCTTTTGGTGCAACGAGCATGTATGCTCAATCTTCAGCAATCAAGGAAAAGGCTACGATAGGCGGCACACTGGCCAGGCGGAAAGCACACTTGAATCGCCCGCAGGTCAGGCAGGACGGTCCCGCTCTCACCCGGCGTCATAAGTAGAGCAGGCGGTACTCTAGGCGCATACATGCCAGGTACATCTGCAGCGGCAGTGCATCCTCCACCTCCTGCTCAGTCAACACACCATGGAAGGAGGGCGGGAGGCGGCGGCAGTGAGTGGGGTGGTGGCGGCGACAGTGCGTGGTGTGTGTGTGCGTGGTGTGCGTGGGTAGGGTGTGGGGCAGGGAGGGTCCATGGGGCATGGGGCAGGCGTGTGGGTCCATGGGGCGCTCTCCTGCCCGCACGGCAGCAACTGCACCATTTGCAGCAGCAGCAGCATGCCCAGGCTGGCGTTACTGCTGTCTTGGTCTAGCCGCGGCCACCCAGCTCCTGCCCGCAGCACAAACAGCTGCATGCCTGCACCTTGGTCCTGGGCTGACAAGCCGGCCTACCTCCATCCATCCACTGTCTGCAGGCCACAACCACACAGATGGCATGCCCGCCAGGCACCTTCCTTCCCCTCACCAGCATGGAGAGCAAACTGAACCAAAGCGCACCGCCTCCGCATCCCTCTCCAGATAAGCTGAACTTAAGACCATGTCCAGCCGGTAGCCCACCAGAAGCAGGCAGGCAGCAGATTGGGCCAGGCATTCGGGCTGAGGGCTGGGAAGGACTGGGAGGCGGGCGACCACCTGGCGCCTGAAGCGGCAGACCTCGGCAAGCTGGCACGTGCAGCTCATGGCCAAGGACCTGTATTCGTATTGCTGCCAAGTGTG